ACATATGTCTACAAATTACCTGGGTTCTGCTGTGCTGTGAACAGTACAAATGTACACCTATGTTAGGAACCAGAAGTAAATTGACCCTAATTATGAACAGATATTACCTAACCATGTCTTGAAATAAAAAACTAAAGCTTCTTTTAATCTAGTGCAACTTTTGCAGGTACAAATTTTAAAATACATTTTAAGCACGCTTAAACAACAGGTACATTATCTTTCCACTTAATTCTGTAATTCAGATACTAACAATACAATGAAAGACTTTAAGGAAGAGAAGATGTGGCAAGTTGCCTTTAAAAAGGAGCATATGTAGCGTTCTGTGTGCGTGCGTCTCTCTCTCGTACTCCCATATCAAGTCATGTCTGAAGAAACAGCAAACCATGCCTGAATAATGTTTACCCAGGCCACAAAAAGAACTAGATACACATGGTTTGGAGTCATGGTATAGCAACCTGGACCAATTCAGCTGAAATTTAATATATGTTCAACACATTTTAATTCAAAGCTCTATCTGCTTTCCTTCTTTCTTTCTGACAAAGTATATAACAGAAAAGACCTCTCCATCTTCTGAGTTAGTCACAATGGTCAGAGCCAACAAAAATGAAGAAATGGCAATTTCTTTGCTTTACCCTGGGTAAACATTCTGGATACTGGCATGCAAAACTGCATACTGAGCAACCCACTTCACTCACAGAATCCAAAGAGTTATACTGCCAGTACATACTTAACTACCATAAATATGTAACTGTCATACATGCAATGGTGACTGCCACAGGTTTGACAACAGAAAAATTATTCTGTGCGCCAACATTTAAGGAATTACACATAATTACATTTCATTTACATCTTTACAAGTACCAACCAGTAGTAAATAAAAGTATATTATTTAAAAAATGGTAAAGTTATAAAAATACTTCAGAAGTTTTAAGATCTACTTAGGTTTGCAGATTCATTTTCCCCATACCACTAATAAATGTGTTTCAACATCTTCATAAAGAGAGCTGAATTTCTCTCTCCAACTTCTGAAAATGTTTAGTCCCTCGGTTTCTGGGGTGGGGTAAGTCCAGCTGTGGGAAAATCCCCCCTGCACTATGCACAGCTCCAGTTCAACAGGTAATTGGCAGGATGGGACATTTCACCATGTGCTGACCCATGAAGCCACAAAGGAATGTCTCCCAACCCACTGCACAGGCCCGGTGGCAGCAGGTGCTCCACAGGGCTACCTTGGGCCACATGACAGGGAGGCCAGTGTTCTCCCTTCCTCCCTCTTAAAGTTTTCTTCCATGAAAAGGGCCATGAATGGCTGTACACTCTATTTGTGCTACAAAACAGCTTTTCTTCCAGCACAAATGAAATGCCTAAAATTCCAACATCTTCAGACTGAAGGAAGGGTAAGTTACTAGCTGATTCACTATTGCTTATAACATTCTGGGGGCACTTAAGAAATGTTCATGTGCACAAAATAAAGAAACACCTCCAACACCACTGTTCATGCTATTTCTATACTCAGCTGGGCTCAGTTTTGTTCTTATGAGTGGTGTAGTCTTGCTCTTTGTGCAGAGAAAAGCATTCACTCCATACCAAGCATGATTCTCTGCTGACAAAACAAGGGACTCTCTCTCAGTTACTCCTAAACATGAAATGTTCAAACAATGGCACAATCAAGTGTCCATCATCTTTATTAACAGTACATACAATGATTTATTTGAATCTATATATGGAGACAACTATATGCAGCAGAGTTTGGCTGTATGAATACAAATTAAATGAGAATAATTAAAAAGAAAGACACCAGAAATGGAAGTAATCAGTACTATAATTAAAATATTTAGAAGACCTTCTCATTAATTTGTCTGCATATTTGCTTACTCTAAGGTTTGAACAAACATAGCAATTTCTTTTTAAAAACCAGCTTTCTGAACAAGAAGCATTAACCAAAGTTTATTATTGTCTTTAAAATTTTGGAGATAACACACTCTGAAATATAATTCTTAAGAAAACCCAAATCTATCAATTTAAACTATAAATGAAAGTCCAGATTGTACAATTACATCTACTGCATACCTGCTTGATCTAAACAACAAATCAGCCCCTTCCAACACCTTCTTACTCTACCACAAAATTAAAAAGAGGAAGTTACTGGCAACTTAATATAAACTTTATAGCTCAAGATGTATAAAACTGCATTGATATTTCTCTCATTAGAGTTACCATCCTCTCTACTGGAACTTCACTTAGATGACAACAAGATTTCAATGATTGAACTTGAGGATTTTATTCGGTATAAAGATCTGCAAAGGTAAAAATAAATACGCAGAATCCTTCCTCCTAGAATAATTACTTTATAAAAGGTCAGTATTTTCATGTTTTTCTTCAATAATTTTGTAACAAACTTAAGGGAGAGGGAAACATCAAGCTATTAAGTGGTTTCAGTATGTGCCACAATAAGGAAAAGCATGGATACTTTTAAAGAAAATTTAGCTTAAACATTTCTTTTGTTATTTCATCAGAAAAATTACAACTCTCATGTGGTGTAGGGGGAAATTATGTTAAGCAGAAAAAATGCTTTTGATTACTGAGGTATTGTATTGGTCTTGACACCTGTCTTTGTCTTGACATAATGCCTTGTAATATTAACTCACATAAGCAGTATATGTACTTCAGAGTCAGACATTGGATACCTTTTCCCAGGGACACTCAAAATAGCACAGGGAGAGAGAGAATATTTTCCTGAGAGATAGAGAGGTGAGGCAGTTGCTGTAGAACGAAATATTTCCTTTGGAGACTGGGACTCTTGGAATTAACAGGGTCCAAGATGATAATGTTGAGGTTAAAACATAGAAAGGAGTGCATTTCTTGGGGAGATGGAGACGGTTAAAGTAGGACTTGAAGTACTAAGCGACCAGTTGCCTTTCCATGCCCAGTTAGCTTTCTGAGAAAATGACCAAACAGTTTTGAACTACAAGTTTGGTATTAAAAATAGGAGTCAACTGCAGGCTCTTCATTCACAGTTTCTGAAGAAACTAGGACAGAGGATCAAAGAATGACTAACAGGGATAAAACTATCCATTCATTCTAGTCTTGGTCTCTTATTATGTGAAATAATATTGTTAAGTCTCAGGTTGAAAATGGTTGGACAACTCAGACTTAGACTAAGCCCAATATCAGTGTGAAAAGGAAACCCAGAAGTAAAAAAAGGAGAGGTAGAGTTACTGTGCTTGAGTACTTTGAAAGTAAGATAGATAACTTCAGTTTTCCTTCTACTGTCTCCATGCTAAAACAATAAGCTGTCACACACTTATGTATTATTTACTAGCTATGAGTACTATATTTTATTCACACAATAATTTGATTACCTTTTTACAACCCAAAAAGTACTGAGCTGAAATTGGGTAAACATTCTGCACTAGATTAGTCATAGAGACCATAGCTGATTTTCTCTCTCTGAACATTAATATCTTCCTCCCCTGCCATTGTTCTGACTGTTTTGTTTTTCCATGTGTAATTATGTGTATGGAATCTGCTCAAAAAAGAATGCTCAAAAATCTAATATAATAAAAGGCTTAGTCTGTCTGCGTGTCTGTCTGTAATGCTTTTGCCCAACTGCGCATGCGCCAATTGGCTAGGTGGGCAGGGGCAGGGCCAGCAGACTTAAAATAGGAGCCCCTACATTGGCACCACCACCTCCTGCAGCCTCTGCTATGGTGGCTCCCTCCACCCCACCTCCATACATGGCCAAAAAATAACTTGGCATGAGTACTTTACAAGCGGTGGGACCAGCTGAGGAAAGGCAGAAGCCCCTCCACCGGCACCACCTCCTCCTGCAACCTCCCATGCGGCAGCTCCCTCTGCCCCACCTCCACACCTTGGAAATCAATAAATTGTCATGAGCACTTTACAAGTGGCAGGGCCAGCTGAGGAAAGGTGGGAGCCCCTCTGCCAGCGCCACCTCCTCCTCCAGCCTCTGGTGCGGCGGCTCCGTCTGCCCCACCTCCACACATTAGAGATAAATTATTAGAAATAAATCAATTGGGAATCACAATTTAATAGCAGCGAAGCCAGCTGAAGAAAAGTGGGAGCCCTTCTGCTGGCACTGCTGCCTCCTCAAACCTCCAGTCCAGTGGCTCCCTCTGCCTCCTTTTCCATGCACTTGAAAAAAAATCAATTGGGCTTCACCATGAATTAGTGGTGAGGCCAGCTGAGGAAAATTAGGAGCCTCCACCGGTGCTGCCAACTCCTCAACCCCCCAGTCTGGCAGCTCCCTTCACCCCTTTCTCACATGATGAAATTGCCATGATTTTCTGGAATGATGATGGGGAACCACCTTTCCATAAGGATATAAGAATTTATTTGAGATTCCCAAGACTTTGAAAATATAAGTAATTTGAATGTTAACTTAGATCCCATGACATTTGTTCTGTTTTATCCATATGGTGAACCAGGTTGACATCCAGCTTTGCGTACATCTTCCTGGATACGAGACTTCACCACAGAAAAACGTGTCCATGTTACAATTCAAAGTTGCTCAAACAACAGTTCGCCAAAATGAATTTAATCCAATTTTACATGGAGGAAAATGACTCAGTGGTGGATTGTAGATTCACATATACAAGTTGAGGCAAAGAGTTTAAATTACCTTAGACAACAAGGGAAACTTAGAGTAGTGCAATACAGTGGTCTGATGGACTTCTTAATGGAAACTGCTGAAACCTCCGGTATGCAAGTAGGAAAAACTGTCATTTTACCGTCATCGTTCCAAGAAAGACCAAGAAATATGATAGAACAATATCACAATTCCATGGCAATAGTGAGCAAATATGGACACCCAGATCTGTTTATTGCATTCACTGCGAATCCAAAATGGCCTGCTATTCAAGAAAATTTGTTTCCTGGACAAAATCCCTCAGACAGACCAGACTTAGTGGCAAGAGTATTCAAAATTAAGTTGGCATCTTTACTGGATGATGTCATAAAACAAACTACTTGGTCCAGTAATCGCCCTGTGTACACAACTGAGTTTCAAAAAACAGGACTCCCACATGCGCACATGCTATTATATTGGAAAACAAACTTGGTACACAAGCAGCCATTGATTGTATAGTTAGTGCCAAAATTCCCAATCCAGATACAGACCCAGTTTTATATGACGTAGTGAAAAAATACATGATACATGGACTATATGGTACTTTCAACAGTAATTTACCATGCATGAGTGAGAGAAAGTGTACCAAAGATTTTATAAGCAATTTTAACAAGCAACAATAGCCAATGCCAACGGATATCCTTTATATAAAAGAAGCCAAACGTGTAGAATCCAAGTAGGCAAACACAGAGCAGACAGACGTTATGTTGTTCCATACAATAAATATATTTTGTTAAAATACAACGCTCATATCAATGCTGAAGTATGCACATCAGTAAAGTCCATCAAATATATCTTTAAATACGTTTAACAAAAGGTATGACTTTAATGCACCAATATTTAAATAGTAAATAATCAATGACTACAACATGATGAGATAGCTAATAACCTTGATGCAAGGTATGTGACACCACCAGAGGCTATGTGGAGATTGCTGGAAAACCATATGCATGATACAGCTCATGGAATCATTAGATTAGCAGTTCATTTGCCATTCCAACAATCAGTATATTTTCAACCAGGACATGAATGTGAGGCCATCGACGCACAGACATTTCAAAAACAACTTTAAATGCTTGGTTTTCATTAAATCACAATTGCCCCAAAGTGCAACAGTATTTAAACTGCAAAATTCCATACCATTATGTATTTCAAAAAGGCATTTGGCAAAGACGACAGAGGTGGAGACACCATTCTCCCTAGGATGTATTCAGTGAGTCCAACTGATATAGTAAGATTCTGTTTAAGAATGCTATTATTGCATGTCCATAGAGCAACCAGTTTTGAAAAATTCTGTACCATTAACAATGTCTTCTGCAATACATTCCAAGAAGCAGCAAGAAGATGAAATTTGCTGGCCAGTGATGAAGACCGGAGCTGCTGTCTGGAGGAAGAAAGTGGAATTCAAATACCCAGACAGCTGACACACACATTTGCATTAATTTGCATATGTTGCAAGCCATCTAATCCACTTCAGCTATGAGAACAGTTTAGGGATGCCATGACAGAGGACCAAAGGAGACATCACAATTTTGACATGGCAGTACAAAAGGCATTGCTGGATATACAAGATTATTGATGGTTCATGGACTGAATTGTACTTCTTTTGGTCTCCCAGACCCAGGGGTGTTTGTTGAACAAAATAATGATATCTTTTACAACATCACCGAAGAATTTGCAGAGGCAAAACAACAAATTAGAAACCTCAATGCGCAACAGAAATATGTTTTCAATCAAATTGTTAACACTATAAATTGAGACAGTGCAAATAGCTGCTTTTGTTTGGATGGACCTGGAGGATCTGGGAAAATTTACTTATATAACACCTTAGTGTGTTACATTAGAGGAACTGAGCAAATTGTTCTCCTTTTTGCAACAATGGGAATAGCTGGTTTTCTTTTAAAATGAGGAAGAATACACAGTGGCTTCAAATTACCTATCCCAATACTTGAAACATCTACTTCATATGTTCACCTGAAGCTCCCAGACTGAAAAAGGCCACACTCATTAGAATTGATAAAGCCACTATGATGCACACTCATGCACTTAGATGCATTGATTTTTGTTGTTGAGATAGATTATGCAAAATGATACGCCCTT